AATGGAGGGGGGGCTGGGGAAAGGCAAAACCCCGGCCGTATCTTTAAAAAAAGGGTTTTTCCCCCAGGCCCCCAAAAAAGGGCCCGAGGGCTGCTTTGCTGCCACAAAACGCTGTAGCCCCCAACAGGGGCCCCCCCCGGGCCAAACGCTTGACTTTCTGGCCACATAGTCGACATACGCAAACTTTTACTTTCCCGGGGGGCTTGACAAAAAAAAATTGCCGACGGGGCCGCCGATAGGAAACTTTCCCCCGATACCCTCACTGGCTAAACGGGGCTGCTCCCTCCTGCACACCCGGCACCCTACGGGGCCGTTTTGGGTTTTAGGCGTATTGGGCTGGGGTTTGTATTTCTGGGGCCGTTTTGCCTCCACGGAAAACCGCTGCGACCCCTCCCTTGCCCTCCGGGCAACCCACCGACTTTTTTCCCCTCGCTGCCAAGCGGGCACCCCTTCCCTATGTGCAGAACAATAGCCTGATGACGACAAGGCTGCCAAGTGGGCGATCTCATGCCTCAGCTTCATCAATTATGGGTCTACGAACTCACTACGTAGCTCCACTTGCTGCGTGTGCGTTATGTGGGTCAGGAGACAGACCTGGTCTCTAGACCGGTCTACCCGGAGACCACTCTCCTCGACCTCTACGACGTTCGAGCATGGCTCGCGTGAAAGACGGCCGGATGTCTCCCACCGTTTCCCTGACCGCCCTCTGTTAGCTCTTCCTCACTGTTACCAGTGGGTCTGAGCCCACAGCATGCGATACTGCGCATTGGGTGACGGGAACAACCAAAGGTACAGGGGCAGGGTAGAGGACACGTGATTTCAGTGGGCTTGCATCCCGGGCCATGCCAACTAATGGGTTGTGTCTGACCGTTACCCACCGACCGAGGCTGATAGGTGTCAGAAGGTGACCTGGGAAGAGGAAGAACGATCCGAGAGCAAACCAATCTGATGACCGGCATGGTTGGCGGTGGACGACACGAACCTACTGGATGACCTCCTGGAGAGCACTGAGCGGCCTCTGGCTAGCGATAGAGTGCTCAGATAAAAAAAAAAAAAAAACAACCCCTTCGACCCACTTTTTTTTGCGTTCTGTACGCCCTTTGCCACGTTGCTCGCTCCTAAAACTACATTTAATTAACAACGATTCTGTGTCCACTGAGAAACAATTCTGTGGTCTGTACCCTGAGTAATAACAATACCTGTAGTCCCTGAGTAACGTTTTCTGTGGCCATAAGTAAACAGTTCTGTGTCCCTCTGTAACTATTCTGGTGTCCCTCAGATAACAATTCTGTGTCCCCATCAGTAACAATTCTGTGTCTCGTCCCAGCAGTAACAATTCTGTGTCTGTCCCAGAGTAACAATTATGTGTCCCTGAGTAATCGTTTCTGTTGCCAACTAACGTAACAGTTCTGTGGCCCTCCAGTAACAATTCAGAGGTCCCACAGTAACTATTCTGTGTCTGTCCCTGAGTAAACAATATTCCTGTGTCCACTGAGTAACAATTCTGTGTCACTCATGTAACAATTCTGTGTCCTCTTCAGTAAAACAATTCTGATTCCCCTCGAGTAACCAATTCCTGGTTGATCTGTCCATGAGTAACAATTATGTGTCTCCTTCAAGGTAATGTTTCTGTGTGCCCTAAAGTAACGGTTCTGTGGCCTCAGTAACCAATCTGATGTCCCCCTCAGTAACAATTTCTGTGTCTGTCCCTAAGTAAAACAAATTCTGTGGCCCTAAGTAACGTTTTCCTGTGGGCCCTAAAGTAACGATTCATGGTGGCCCGAAAGTAACGTTTCTGTGCCCTAAGTAACGTGTTCTGTGGCCCTTATTATTTAGTAGCCGGTTCCCACCCCTAAGTAACCGTTTCTCTGTGGGCCCTACAGTAACGTTATCTGTGGCCCTGAGTAACGGTTCTGTGTCCCTCCAGTAACAATTCTGTATCCCACCAGTAACAATTCTATCTGTGTCTGGTTCTGTCCCTGAGTAACAATTCTGTGTCCCTAAGTAACAATTCTGTGGCCCTAAGTAACGGTTCTGTGTCTGCCCTCAGTAACAATTCTGGTGTGATCCCTCAGTAACAATTCTGTGTCTTTCCCTCAGTAACAATTCTAGTGGCCCTAAGTAACGTTTCTGTGGCCCTAAGTATCCCTGTAATTCTGTGGCCCTAAGTAACATTTCTGTGGCCCTTTTTAGTAACAGTTCTGTGTCCCTCAGTAACAATTCTGTCTGTGTCCTTCTCAGTAACAATTCTGTGTCTGTCCCTGAGTAACAATTCTGTGTCCCTGAGTATCAATTCTGTATCCCTCAAGTAACAAATTCTGTTGTCCCTGAGTAACAATTCTGTGGCCCTGAGTAACAATTCTGTGTCCCTACAGTAAACAATTCTGTGTCCCTCTAAGTAACACAATTCTGTGGCCCTAAGTAACAGTTTCTGTGGCCCTAAGTAACGTTCTGTGGCCCTCTAAGTAACGTTTCTGTGGCCCTAAGTAACGTTCTGTGGCCCTAAGTAATGTTTCTGTGGCCTCAGTAACAAATCTGTGGCCCTCAGTAACAATTTCTGTGTCTGTCCTAAGTAACAATTCTGTGGCCCTAAGTAACGTTTCTGTGGCCCTAAGTAACGATTCTGTGGCCCTAAGTAACGTTTCTGTGGCCCTAAGTAAACGTTTCTGTGGCCCTCAGTAACAATTCTGTGTCCCTCAGTAACAATTCTGTGTCTGTCCCTAAGTAACAATTCTGTGGCCCTAAGTAACGTTTCTGTGGCCCTAAGTAACGTTTCTGTGGCCCTCAGTAACAATTCTGTGTCCCTCAATAACAATTCTGTGTCTGTCCCTAAGTAACAATTCTGTGTGGCCCTAAGTAACGTTTCTGTGGCCTCTAAGTAACGTTTCTGTGGCCCTAAGTAACGATTCTGTGTGCCCCCTCAGTAACAATTCTGTGTCCCTCAAGTAACAATTCTGTGTCTGTCCCTGAGTAACAATTCTTCTGTGGCCCTAAGTAACGTTCTGTGGCCCTAAGTAACGATTCTGTGGCCCTAAGTAACGTTTCTGTGGCCCTCAGTAAAAATTCTGTGTCCCTCAGTAACAATTCTGTGTCTGTCCCTAAGTAACAAATTCTGTGGCCCTAAGTAACGTTTCTGTGTCCCCTAAGTAACAATTCTGTGGCCCTCAAGTAACAATTCTGTGGCCCTCAATAACAATTCTGTGTCTGTCCCTAAGTAACAATTCTGTGGCCCTAAGTAACAATTTCTGTGGCCCTAAGTAACGTTTACTGTGGCCCTAAGTAACGTTCTGTGGCCCTAAGTAAACGATTTCTGTGGCCCTCAGTAACAATTCTGTATCCCTCAGTAACATTTCTGTGTCTGTCCCTGAGTAAAAATTCTGTGTCCCTAAGTAACGTTTTCTGTGGCCCTAAGTAACGATTCTGTGGCCCTAAGTAAAACGTTTCTGTGGCCCTAAGTAACGTTTCTGTGGCCCTAAGTAACGTTTCTGCCCTCAGTAACAAATCTGTGTCCCTCAGTAACAATTCTGTGTCTGTCCCTAAGTAACAATTCTGTGGCCCTAAGTAACGTTTCTGTGGCCCTAAGTAACGGTTCTGTGGCCCTCAATAAACAATTCTGTGTGTCCCTCAGTAACAATTCTGTGTCTGTCCCTAAGTAAAATTCTGTGGCCCTAAGTAACGTTTTTGTGGCCCTCAGTAACAAATCTGTGTCCCTCAGTAACAATTCTGTGTCTGTCCCTAAGTAACAATTCTGTGTCCCTCATTCTGTGTCCCTCCTAAGTAACGTTTCTGTGGCCTATAAGTAACGGTTCTGTGGCCCTCAGTAACAATTCTGTGTCCCTCAATAACAATTCTGTGTCTGTCCCTAAGTAACAATTCTGTGGCCCTATGTAACGTTTCTGTGGCCCTAAGTAACGTTTCTGTGGCCCTCAGTAACAATTCAGATCTGTGTCCCTAAGTAAGTAACATTCTGTGGCCCTAGTAACCGTTCTGTGGCCCTCAGTAGACAATCTGCTGTATCCCTCATAACAATTCTGTGTCTGTCCCTGAGTAACAATTCTGTGTCCCTAAGTAACGTTTCTGTGGCCCTAACTAACGATTCTGTGGCCCTAAGTAACGTTTCTGTGGCCCTAAGTAACGTTTCTGTGGCCCTAAGTAACGATTCTGTGGCCCTAACTAACGTTTCTGTGTCCCTAAGTAACGTTTCTCTGTCCCTAACTCTCTCCCTGAATACAGCCAGGTCTGCCTCTGTTGAATGACTGGAGGCAAATGGAGAATTCTAAAATGGCCGCCATTTATAGCTCGACCATTACACAGTGCTGCTGGCTGGCTGCTGATTGGCTAATGCGATCACATGTCATGAATGAATGCATTATGGTCAGCGCGCCTTGTCCTGCGCGCCTTCCCAGACATCCCCGCTCCGTCGCCGCACATGTCGCCGCCATTTTAGGAAAAAATTTTCTAATATTCGATTCGCTCATCTCTAAATACCATAATAATAATAATCCCATATTCTTTCCAAACCAATATGAATGTGCAATAGCTGTGCCATTACACATTACACTGTATTTAAGTGTTAGAGCTGTAGCAACATGGGAAACCTGTTTGTTTATTCTCATCACCAACTTCTGATACTGATTGAGTTTCTTAACTATTTATAGGTTTGTGAGAGATGATAAACTCTAACAAAAGAGAGATGGAATATTTCTTAACCTGTCCAACCACATACTAGGAGAGCGATTAATGCACAGATCTACAGCACAACACCATGGGTGTTTCATGAGGCACTATATTTTTTTAAATACTGAGCTGTTTAAATAGGTATTGGATTACATTATGGGTGATATAAAGCTCATCAATGGCACCTTTCTCCCTGATAGAATTGCTTTAACCTAACAATAACCTAATTTCTAAAATTCCTTAATACTAGAAACTATTCTAAACTGCATCCTTAAACTCTCTGTTGATATCTGGTCACTTACATAAAAAATTGCAGCTTGCATTGTGTGTTTTTTAGCACCTTGTGTATATATGTTATGATTTTGTTTGCTATTAATAATTCTAATATATATATATATATATATATATATATATATATATATATATATATATATATTCCAATCCCTGGGTCTACTACATCTAATTTTAGAATTTGGAGAGTGTTTGTTTTATAAAAAAATATTTTTTTAAAAAAAAGTTTTGCACCTTTTGTGATATCTATCAGCTAAAGCTGAATGTTGCAAAAAACGAACATTTCTGGTAGTTTCAAACAAGAACATTTTTGTTTAAACTGGTAGATGTATTGTTAACTGTAAGCCGTTCACCAATAAAGTTCACCATATTGACAGCCTTTTAAGATTTTTAGACAGATTATACAGTATACCTATTTTACATAGCACATCTCATGTTACTTAATTGTCTTGTGATTTTTGATTGTCTAAACTAGTTCAACATTTTAGGGTAACTGACAAAGATTTTTGTTGCATACATTTGAAAATATCCCATCCACCCTTATCTTCTATTACTGCAGTTCTCATGTGACTTGAATTTTCTTCTTAATGTCAGTTAGTGACTTCCCTACTGTGCTGTATAATTTTCTTCTTGGGGCCTTTTTTCTTGGGGACAGTGAAGAAGCTGTGCCTGGGAATCCACAGTGCAAAGATCTTCTTTCTCCTATTTCATTCATTCTGGAATTTTTTTTTTGCTTCACTTCCTGTTGCTTTTCGATCCTTTTCCTCTTCTGTGCTGTTTGCTGTCTGTGATTCTGTGGTTCCTCCATCTCTCCTGTTGCATTTTGGACATTCCCCCCACCAAGCAATAGTTCACCATTAATCAGATCCCCAGTCAGCAATGGAGCATGTCATGAGGAATCAAAGCTCTGTTTCTCCACCAAAATGGCTGTTCATGCTGGGGGAAAAGATCAGCAGTGGAGAATAATGGTGACTAATGGTTTTTTCTCTGCTAGTCTTTTTTGAACACTATGTTCACATTCTACATCCT